ATCAAAAGCTGTAATACCTGTCCTCTCCAATACTGCTGGAAACAACATTGTGACAGTCTTATGTGTTGCCAGGACTAACTCAGCAGAGCAGGCTAGCATGCATCTATGGAACCTCTCATTGGTTAATAAAGAGGTCAAATTAGTAGCATGCAGTATTTGAGCCTCTGCCCTACACATTGCCTCCAAAACTCTAAAATAAAGTTTGAGTGCTTCCAATCTTCGTTGTTCTGCCCAGATGTTGTCCATGAGGTCAGCACTTTGCAGGCTACCAGTTACAAATCGTTCTCCCAAGGCACTACTTGGAAATATAACCTCCAATATGACTTGTGCCCTGCGTACCACATCATTGGTAACATCCCTATCACACAATGCCAGGAACCCCTCCAGCTTGGCTGAGGGTTTCGACGGAAGTGGAGAAATAAAGGTCCGAAGCCACTTTGCAGTTGTCATTGCAGTGCTCACTGGTGTGGCTACCATCTTTGAATTAGCACCACCGTTAAGATGAGATGCAAGAGTGTGATGGGGAGAGAGTGGACTTGCAATTGGCTTTGTTGGGGAGGCTATAGAATCAAATTTCCTCTAACATAACAGAATATATAAAACCATCAAAAAACTCCCTCTACACAAAATGGAACCAATGGAAGAAACAAAGAAGAACATTGACAATACCACACGTATGGACCTCAATGGTGCTATTTATTAAAAGCATACCTTCACACCGGATAAATTCATGGATCCTCCAGAAAAGCTACCAGAACCAAGTAAGCTATCTTCTTCGTTGATGAAGACTCTCTCATCAAGTTCACCCTTACTCCGAATTGCATCATCGTAATCCTTTTCTAGAATATCTAAACTGGATGACAATGATGGTTCCTCCATAAGACCTTCAAAATAGGTCAAACCATCTGCATTAAACAGGATCAGATCTCAGAATCATTGATAAATGACAAAGGAACAAGAGATTTGTATCAATCACTGTACACAGGAGAAAATTATCAAAGAAACCTGGATCCATATTCTCTAGATTTTTATTTCTACACTCGGACGCTGAACAGGGCTTCTTCTTCAAAATATCCACTATTAAAGCATTAGCCATTTCCATTGTTTTTCTCAACTCATCTTCTGAGGTGTCATAAATGTTGCAAAGGGACGCAAGCAGGTCCACGCCTTTGCTGCCTTTCTTAACTGAATTGGACACTAACCAAATCAGCTCCGATGAAGAATGCCAAAATGTAAACCCACCCCAAAACAATAGAGGGAAAAAGTATGGGGGAAATGAACAAAAGACGAAGCAAGTTTCAAAAATTGAACATCCTTCCTTGAAAAGGAAATCATATAATACAAAGTCTAATAAGCCAAGTGAAATATTACCAAAGTGTGTTGAATCATGGATGTTGAAGTTTCTGAAGCAAACAGGAACATGAATAATTAAAATTGCCTGTAAAAAGGAAAACCAAGCAGTAAGAAAAAATACATGTTCATATATAAAGCCAAAAAGAATATATGTATGTGGGTTGATACGTATATATATGTGTGTGTGTGTGTGTGTACATATATAATGTAATGTAATGTT